GGATAATTTCTAATTTTTCATGTCAGCATAAGAAGCAAAATACATTTAAAGTTTTACAGGTTCTAGCTTTTTTAAGTATTTTTCATTTTTCCTTAGGAGTTTTGTTATCTTCTTTTAAGTTCCAAAAATATTTAGAAAGGGGCGTCATATTTTTGTAAGCGTTATTGGTGGAAAATAATATATGTTGATACCACCTTGTTTTAGAAGAATTCTTAGTACTCTTAATATAATTTTTTTAACTGTTGGATTTTCTATAGTAGAAATAGTGCTTAGTAAACAAGAGAGTCAATTTGACATCGGTTTTGCAATGGGCATTCGTTAGAATTTCTACAATTACACTTGGTATTATTGGTGTTTGTTGCTTTGGAATAGCTATTATTACTCAGGTTTTTATATTGGTTTAAAATTTTATTATTATGTTTTTTTAATAATTTTTTCAAGATTGTAGGTACAGCTATAGTTTAGTTTTAGTGTATTTCTATTAAAAAATTTACTGAGTGGATTATTTCTGGGGAAGTGATTTTCAATAAAATGGAGGAACTTCTACGCTAACTAAACATTTGGTTAAATGGGGGTGTGTACCGAATGATTTTCCTGTTTTTATTCTTATTCCAACGATTACTGTTGTTATGTTTTATATATTTGATGTCAGTGCACTTATAGCCACTATTTTAAGGCAGTGTTTTAAGCTTTACTATCCTTGTAAAAGACATCTTCACTGGAAGAGTTATTGCTAACCCTATATCCTATAGAAGAGAGTATGTGTTTGATTAGGGATGGAGGGTGGCTGGAATTCGGGTGGATGCATATTGGATTAGGATTTGTTTTCATGTAGGGTTGGAATATATTAACTAGGCCTAATGTAACATCAAGGAAATGTAATTTTTTAAATTAGTGTTGATCGGAACTTTAAGGTTAAAAATTTTAAATTCTCTATGTATCAATTTCCTTATTTTGTCAGCTTTAATTTTTGTCTAATTTTTCACTAACATAAGGCCATCATCTCTATATAAGCCTATATTATCAATGTTAATATCATTGTAGGAACTAAGATTATATAAGATAAATAAACCCCCAAAAAATCGGAAACATGGAAATATGAAATTGATCAACAAAATTGTTCTTTCTTATGGATAAAGCTTTCTGATTCTGAAATTTAAAAAAAAGAAAAAAGTTTTCCTCTTGAAATTAACTTTACGTCATAATAATCTGAAGCTCCTCATATGAAAGATCTGAGTACGCTTTGGCATTTTTACTTCATTGGTTTTTCTCTCATTTGGATATATATATATATATATATATATATATATATATATATATATATAATGAACTGGACGAAGTCCGACAATTATTAAAGACATTTTTTATGTTTATACGTTCTTTTTATAGGTACAAATATTTAAGTAAATGCTCTGTTTATAATAAACAGTATTAATAATATTTACCGACCTGAATGTCCAAGATATTTTCATAGAAAACATGCGTCCTCCGACAGGAATCGAACCTGTATCCTATATGGAACTGTCATATAGCCTGACGTGCCTTAACCGTTTGGGTTACAGAGGAGCGTTTCGGTTAGCAAGGTTGATTTTACTGAAAGAAAATCATGGAGAATTGTGTTTAAAAACAGTAAAATCAACATTATATATATCGTAGAATCACAGCTATTATTGGTATTAATACTATTTTCACACAATACACTTTTGAATACAAGCATTAAAAACATATTAACAACGAACCCATTGAATAACTTATAGATTTGCCGAAAGTGTTACGGTCTATAATCATTACAGACAGTTGCTAACCTTTATTAATCAACCCTTCTACAACCCCAAAAAAGATTAGAAAAAAAATAATTAAAAACTTTCAAGATTTTCCTTGTCTATCACATTCACTGAAACGTGATACCACTATTTAAATATGGATGGACAGATTGAATTAGACATATATAAGTGAAGAAACTTCAATAGATAAATACATGGATGATTACTCAGATTCCATTTCATGTATTTTTTTCAGGTATGGGCAGCGGGGATGTGCCTTTTAATCCTGTTCAGAATTTACACTCTTGGTTAGAATTACTAACCCTAACACTGCCCTAACCCTGTGGCAATTTTGCACTTGTCCTTACAGTAAGATTTTGATTATATATAACGTTTTAGGTCGCCAACCGATGCACTTACTTTATGCTGCAAGTAAAAATGTGTTGTAATGAATGACTTTTCTCTGCAGCGAGATAGATACATACAAACAGTTACATATGAAGTTGTTGACATAGATATATAAATTAATATATGAGGACGGTCGAAATTATATTGATAGATATGAACAAACTTCTAACAAAAGATACATTTATATAGAAAGCGGGAGAGTTATATATATGGTCACAGACACAGGTAGTATTATATCGATAGATATTAAGTGAGAGAGAGAGACAGACAGACAGTGCGAGTCATATATATATATATATATATAGATAGATAGATAGATAGATAGATAGATAGATAGATGGGAAATCTTCATCGGGCTAAATTGATGTTTACGTCGCAACTACACGTGTACGCGAATACTCATGACACCTATTTGTTTTTTTAAATAAATTTAAAATCCCATCGACCCCTCTTCTTCGTGTGCATGTGTACTCGCGTCTGCGTAGACATCACTTGATGAAGTCCTAAAGGATGAAACGCGTCACACGAAAGCGTTTTCACACACAGATACATACGCACACACACAAATATATATATATATATATATATATATATAACGATGAGTTAGGGAGAGACAGGCCATTTTCAAATATATCTGACGATAAACAAATGGGTAATAACACACAGGTATAGATGGTTCTAAAATATTCACACACCTAAGAAAAATGCAATTTTTTTTTAGGATAAACCGAATACAAACGATTTCCCATAGTTTTTAAGATAATGATTCTATGCTTTTAACTGGATATTACTAAGCAATGTTGCTAAACACTTTCCCGAAACAAATTGCTCAAATGTGTAAACCTATATTGCTTCAATATTCAAAGCTCCCTGTAAGAAAAGATTTAATGGCTTACAGATTTTTACATTGTCACAGATGGTTATCCATTCAGGTGTGATTTGTTTTGCGGAGATATTTCCATTTGATTCTGCCTATAAATAGTGGGCAATATTAAACTGTCTACAATCACACTGTGCTTGTCAATTAATCATCACGTGTAGCAGTGATAAAGTCTAAATTGTTATGACAAGACCTGAGAAAGAAAATTATAATGAAGCACAAAGACAGAGAAACCTAAAGTCTATTTGCAGTTTATTAAGCGAACCAAAAATTACTCTGGCATCTGTAGTCAGGAAGGAACAAGTTCATAACATCACTACAAATCTCAGCCGAAAGTCTTCCTCTACAACAAGAAGCAAACGCAAGCTAATCAGGCAAGCTGCAGCTATCCCTTCCATCGCTCTTGAAAACTTGAAAAAATCCATCATACTAATGTTACAGTGAATAAGTCCGCAATATCCAGCATAAGGAAGTTCTTTGTGAACGTGTAGCAAGAATCTACATTTGAAGAAAAAAACATAAAACCTCGTCTAGATTATGCTATTAAATATCTAAAAGACTTTCCAGATTTGTGGAAAAGAGTTATTTGGCCAGATAAAACTAAAATAGAACTTTTGGCCTAAATTCCAAATATGTTTGGTACAGACCCAACACAGCTAATCATCCGCCCTGTAAGATACCAATTGTAAAACACGGATGCATTGGCATAATGCTGTGTTTGTTTCTTTTCCTCTCATCCTGAGCATCTTGTCTGTATGCAAAGTACTATAGACGGTGCCAAATATATAGACGTTCAGGAGAACAAATCAACAAAGAAGCCTGCATCTTAGGATAAAGATCACAGCTCAACATGACAATGATTCCCAGCATATCTCTGGAGCAACTCATGAATGGTTTCAGAAAAAAAAAATGAAGGTTGAAAATGACCAAGTCAGATTATGTATTTGCATCCTATAGAACAGGGGTAGGAAACTTACGGCATGCGTGCCACATGTGGCACGTCAAGCAATCTCCAATGGCACGCAGCCGCAAATAACCTCACGTAGTCCCAACCAATAACTACTACAATGCAAAGAAGATATTTAGCTGTTACAAATTTAATATATACTAAAGTACTATATAAAATATATTGTAGAACTGGTATATTGACTGTGACTTGTATAAAAATACGTCTGCTGTTGGCACACTAAATGATCTTCAAAACCCTAAGTCGGCACATAGTTAACAAAAGGTTGCCGACCCCTACGATAGGAAACCTCTGGAGAGATCTAACAGTTTCTGTCCACTTAAAGTCACCAACCAATCTGATTCATTCAGGTTAGTACTGCAAACTAAATTGTGCAGGAATTGCACAATATATACCACAGGCTATACAAATTGATTATAAACTGCAATTTTTGCAAAAGAGCTGCTACGAAATACCGACTGCATTGTCTGAACTATGCGTGGATGCATGTGTATCATAGTAAAATCAATGTTTTGTCATTTCCATAAATTTAAAATGTAAACTAATTTTTGTATTTAAGCTTATGATTTTCAACTAAACTTAGTGTCCTATTATTTAATAGAAATAGTAACTTCGGCAGTAAAACAATATTTTCCAGGTGGTGACCATACGTTTACAAGTCACTAGATAGATAGATAGATAGATAGATAGATAGATAGATAGATAGATAGATTTGAATTCAGTGAACCGAATTATTTTTACAGCTCAAGCTACGTTTCATTCGTAATTAATGTCTATGCAAAAGACATGAAATCACTTCTTGTTGCACTTGTATATCACCTTTTATTATGATAATCTCCGACTGTCGTTTTGTCGAGAGGGATTTAATCGCTTTCCTCAGTATCTAAATCAAGCCATTTAATTTCTGAATTTAGACAATCTAAAAATATATATCCACGCGGAGAAATGATTCATTTTTGATTGATTTCATTTTTTATCTCAGTCTTTTTCCCAAACAATAATCAGTAATAACTTCTTTCGTGGCGCCTTTATTTCGATATTCGTTGATTTTACATTATCTATCTATCTATCTATCTATCTATCTATCTATCTATCTATCTATCTATCTATCTATCTCATGAAGACTATTCGCATTTATGTTTCTACCATATTACCATACTATGTTTATATATATATATATATATATATGTGTGTGTGTGTGTGTGTGCGTGTGTGTGTATGTGTATCTTTACATATCTATATATATGTTTATGTATATATATATATATATGTGTGCGTGTGTGCGTGTGTGTGGTTTTTGCTAATAATGTTGGATTCGCTGTTTATTCCTGATACTTTACAGTATATTGAGTTGCCTGGTTTGTGTGTCATGGCTAGGCCATAAAGCTTAGGTCTTCTCTGAAAAAAAAAAGAAGAGACGTTATTAAACAAGTCAAATTTGCTGTAACCAACGGTGACTAAAACATATCATAGCACACGGTATACATTCATTGTCAAAGTTACTATTTTTCTTATATTATAGGTATAAAGTGCTTGCCAAATTGTATACTTAGTTGGAAAGTCATTAGATGAATTACAAATACTTTACCTGTATATGTTTGTGCATCTATATATGGTTGGTAGAGCGTATATTATTTCACTTTTCCATCTTTTTCAGTGTTTAACTTATAATGGAACAATAGAAAATATTAAAATACTTTTCTCATTCCGAAAAGAATAATATAAATTTCTGAAAAGTGCATTCCTCTCCTTTGCGAGATTTGTGTCGACGACGCTTGGGAAGAAAATAGACGCAAATTTCATTATAACTGCTGGAAAAGTTCTATTCCCGGATTTGTGGAATACACAACAGTGGATCCTCGAACAAGAAAATGCATAAAACAGATTTTGGAAAGGAATCTGCTTGTGATTTCGTTGAGTTTAAGTATGTACGTCCGGCTTTGGGACGTTTGTCACGAAATGTTTAAGATCAAATAAAGGTCCGAAAAAAAAGAGAAAAATCATTTATATACGTGAAATCTCAAAAGTTGATGAGAAAAATCAGATGGTTATAAATATGTCAGCAGAACACGTTCTTATCAAAATCTTTAATCTTTACCAACATTAACACGATGGAGCAGAAATAGAATGAATGTTTAATGGTTATTGCTGCACTTCCAGCTGTTCGGAAATGCTTACATCTCTCTCTTTCTCTCTTTCTCTCTGTCTGTCTGTATCTATCTATCTATCTATCTATCTATCTATCTATCTATCTATCTATCTATCTTTGTAAATGTTGGTTGTCTATATCCACAGAGTGTGCAATAAACACCTGAATATTTTATATAGCAGATCTGATTCTTACCCGAAAGTTAATAACCAATTTCCTCAGAAGCGAATAAATATTAAAAACATCAACAGCGAAAATTTGTAATTGTACAATAATTCTTTTTTCGGTTGAAAAATATATTCAAAATTTATCAGCTCTAAAATATCTCCAAAATGTATCAGCTCCAACTTGCATCCCCCATATATATATATATATATATATATATATATATATATATATATATATATATATATATATAAGAATCCTTCTTCTCCCTATTGCAGGTACACCATCAAGTTCACCTGCTTTGTAGGGGATCCAGTTTAGTGATGATAGCAGAAACCATGGACTGAGTTACATGAATATCACAAAAAGAGACTAAGAACTAAGTGGAAAGTAAGACCAAGACACTTCAGATGTGTCAAGAGTAGAATTGGAAGAGGAATTAAGAGCAAAATTATCCTACTTTATCAACAGAAGATGATAACAATTCAAACTGAGTGAGGATAGGAGGGACAGAAAACTTACTTTTATTTATCACACTATTACAGAATCGCCAATAATAACAAGTACCAAACTTGTTAGAAGCCTCAGTCTATCAGCAAATAAAGACACATTTACAATTATTAAGAGCAGGTACACATCGGTGTCTGTTGTGATCAAAATTCTTCCGCTGTCGTCACATTTCTGCGGACTATAACGGCTGACCACACAAGTGTCAACCAAGAAGATTTAATAACAAAACTGATAAACAAAAACAAAAAAAAAAGAAACTAAATGAAATCACTATATATCCAAAGCATATATTAATAACAAAACAAACTTGCCACTTCCCATATATATATATATATATATATATATATATATATATATATATATATATATATATATATATATATATACAGTAACGTCCAAAAACTAAGGGACAAAATTTTAAAACCTAATATTTGTTAGAAATAACAACTGTGAAAAGTTGAAATTTTGACAACTGGTCGTTGTTATCATCCATAATAACATACTAAAATTTGAATCATTTGCAAAGGATAGAAAAAAGAATTATAACAATTATTTATTTATTTTCAAAATAGGATCGTCCAAAAAGTAAGGGACAACATTGAGAAAAAACAATGTAAACAGTATGCTATATTCAAATTTTTGATTTCCTCTAAAGAATAAATCTTACTTAGTCATTTGTAAACGTTGCATCAGCCGGCACCATGGCGAAACGCCAAAACTTGATTACTTGTGAGACAAGCTATTGTGAAGCTACACAAGGAAAAAGCACACCATTAGAGAGATTTCAGAGAAAGTGAAACGTTCCAAGAGTGTTGTAGGCAGGGTTGTTAAATCCTGGCAAAATAGTTAGTGCATTTAAAACCGGCAGACCCCACAAAAGAGAAGATCGAATAATGCAGCGTATGTCATTAAAGGGCCGTTTTAAGTCTTGCACAGAAATTAAAAGGGTTATGAATAGTACCTCATGTGTTAATGTGTCAAGACAGACTGTTTGTAGACGACTGCAAGTAAATAAGGCTGTTTACTCGAACCCCAGGGAAGAAACCACTTGTTAGTTCGAAGAATAAGAAGAAGAGATTAGAGTTTGCAAACAGGTATGTAATTTGGACATATGAAAATTGGGCAAAAGTATTTTTCAGTGATGAAAGCAAGTTTAATTTATTTGGAAATGATGGAAAAAACAATGTAAAGAGACGTATTGGTGAAAGATTAAGTGCAAAATGTACTAAGAAAATTGTCATGTTTGGGGGCGGAAGCGTTATGGTATTTGGAATGTTTTCTAGCCAAGGTACAACGCCTCTTGTCCGGTTACAAACTCGTGTAAACGCGCAGATCTATAAAAACATTGTTCAAGATCATGTTGTGCCAATCATACAGAATTCATGTTTCGATAGGGCTACCTTTATGCAAGATAATGCCCCATGTCACAAGGCAAATGTGGTAATGAGTTACCTTAGCGAGCAAGATTTGGAAATTATGGATTGGCCACCGCAAAGTCCTGACTTAAATCCAATAGAAAATCTTTGAAGACCTTAGGAGTGAAAGTTATGGAAAGAAATCCCACCAACACGGAGGATTTGTGGGTGAAGCTTCAAGAAGAATGGTCTAAAATTAGTATCGAGGATTGTCAAGAACTGATTCGTTCTTGTAGTCGAAGATGTGCAGCTGTCATTGAGAGCAAGGGCTCATTTACTAAATATTGATTGTACATGTATTTTTATTGTTTTTTTTTTTTTGCCGTTTACATTGTTTTTTTCAATTTTGTCCCTTACTTTTGGACGTTCCAAATTTGAAAATAAATAAATAATTGTTATAATTCTTTTTCTATCCTTTGTAAATTATTCAAATTTTAGTATGTTATTATGGATGATAACGACTACCAGTTGTCAAAATTTCAGCTTTTCACAGTTGTTATTTCTAACAAATATTAGGTTTTAAAATGTTGTCCCTTAGTTTTGGACGCTACTATATATATATATATATATATATATATATATATATATATATATATATATATATACATAAAAATTATGTAAAACAAAGTATAATAATTATGTAAAAAAAGTATAATATTTTTTCTCAATAAATCCACATTACAACCAAAAACGTTTGCGGCACCCTCTTCTTTTTAATATACATACTTTTCTCTCGTTGGAACCACTACAACATATTTCCTTTATATATATACATATATATATATATATATATATATATATATATATATATATATATATATATATATATATATGTATGCATAAGCTCAAACACTAATATTAATATTCCATTGTTATAATTTATTACACTGAATCGTAATATATATATATATATATATATATATATTTGATCACTGATATTATCAATATCTATCTATCTATCTATCTATCTATCTATCTATCTATCTATCCCCTCTATCTCTCTCTCTCTCTCTCTCTCTCTATCTATATATATATATATATATATATATATATATATATATATATATATATATATATATATATATATATATATAAAAATAGCAGAATATTTCCCACATAATGGTAAAACTTCAGTGGCAATGTTGTTCCATCTAGCTAATGTTTTACCATTATGTGGGATGTATTTCTGCTGCCCCCTATATATATAAATATATATATATGTGTGTGTGTGTGTGTGAATGAGAGCTAATTCGAGTAGACAGTTCTTTTTAGCTGGCATTTCATTGTGCCACAAGAATTGAATGTGCATACTTCGTAACGAGTCTAACATTTATGAAAACATCTCAAAAACCTTTTTAAAAATGTTATTTTATTTCAGGCACCAACAAAACCTGATATTTATTTAAATTTTCAACTTTTATTAGGAAATAACTGTCGAGTGATATAAGAACTTTTTACATAAAAAGCATTTTTGTTATTCTTTGCCAACTGATTCTGTTACTTTGAGGCACTCGTTTGCTTTTTCTTCCTTTGTGCAAAAAGTTGTGCCGATTTCTGAGATGCACCTGTAAAAATAAAAATTGGAATTTCTGAGAAACCTTTTAAAGATATGTCTAAGTTTTAATGTCGTAAAGTAATAAATCATTATTTATTTGAATATGAGGTTCTATTTGATAAAAATGTTAATGTTCTGCTTTTTATATTAATTTAATTGATAACTGAAAAAGGATAAACTCTGTCACCGAAGATTCGGAGAAACAACAACGCGGTTAACAGTCCTAGGCTTTTTTTTAGGCTGCATTTTTCTTGTTGCGTATAAGAGAGTAAATTGTTGCAATATTCGAAACAAAGAAATACACAGGCCGAAAATAAAATTGCAGCACTTTGAATATACGCTTGAATTTATTCAAAAATTGATTAAATGGAGAGATTACAGTAAATGATCAGAAATATAGATCAATACGTGCAATGGTTTCAAAATTAGGGTGTATCGAAATTATTCCCGTATATATGGCCCCTATATTATAATACTGTATATTCTCCTGGGAGTTACCACCTGCCTGGTGTGCTCACGAATATCATCCTGCATTACATTTTTCCACACATCTTGTGTCTGTTGATATAAAACAGCAAGAGTTGTAGTTGGACTAAGTGAATGAGTTAGGCGACATTCCATCATGACTTATACACCTTTAATTGGAGAAAGGTCTGCTGATCGTGTCAGGGAATTTCTTGAGCATCTTACAGAATATGTTGAGTAGCATGAGCATTATGGGGGCGGTCATTATCCTGCTGGAACAACATATTGTCTTCCAGGTTGCAATAAATACCGCAACATTGTTTGAATAGATTTTCTTGGTACATATGTTGCTTTTCAACTTTCCTTCACAAACACCAAAGTGTTGCAAGCAAGGGTTTTAACTTATAGTAGACAAATATCCGGGTCTGTTTTTCGAGGGAGATTACACCCTGAAATATATAACCCGAGATCTGTGTTTCACGCAGAAACGACCATCACTGCTCTTAGCAATGAAAATTACAAATTACTATTCGATCACCTACTTTAACCCCACACGAAATTACTGGGGGACGTGTACGAATAATCTGTGATGTTAGTGTCAGTTTGGCATAATTTGTTATTCGTGTCCATAATCCTGTACGTCTTCATGTTCCTAGTCCCCATTTGCTTTGATTTGTGCTATAGCCACAGCGCAATTGTCACTGACAATGCGCCGACTTTTGCGAGAATCTGTACTACTACCTGACCGTCCTGAACCTGATCTTCACGTGTTGGAATGTTCATTCGACTGCTGTTACCAAAACTGAAATGTCATGTACAGAAGTTTCGTTAAAATGACCGTTCATCCTCTCGGAAGCCCATAAAGCAATTCATCTTAAATTAGAACGTGTGCATCTACGTGTACATGAAACCTGTTTGCCCAGGATTCCTTCGTCACACTTAACCTTATCGCACTATGCATCATCATCTAAAGCTCAGTCTTAGACAGTGTACTTGTAAGAAGGCGGCA